GTGGAAGACTGCCCCAGACACAGAACAGCTCAGAAAAGTAGTCAGAGCAGGCTACTCCACGGATGGAGCAGTCCATGGTTGAGATATGGTGAGGTTACATATGTTTTCTGCAAAAGCATTAGTGTGTATGTAAGGAATGTAGCAGCCATGTAATGTACACACATGAGCATGTGGTAGTCCTCACAGATCTGTTTGTGGCTTTGCGCCCAGGCCTGTTTTGTGCCTAGCAGCCTGTCATCCTTTCTAGGTCTCCTGGCGTATGTCAGTGAACCTTGGTTGCCTTACCTTTGACCAAGCTTCTAGGTGAAATTGATTCACTGTGGCTCAGAGAATGGGATGAGGTTCGTGTTTGAGACCTTTCTCTTTTTACCTCAAACAGTGGATTAGGGCGAGGTTGGCATTAATTGTTGTTTGTCTCCTGAAGAATGCTTTTTTGCCCTTGGTCACTGGCTGTCATGATTAACTGTTTTTTCCTGCCTAAAATACAAATAAAACCACCATAAACATCTAAGTGTAAATCCTTGTGCTTCTGTCTTCTTTCACTCGTCTTGGGTAAATATGTAGGTGTGGAATGGTTGAGTCACACAGTAGATGCATATTTAACTTTTAAGGGGTTGCCAAATCATTTTTCACAGTGTTTCCTTCTCACACATCCAGCAATTGTGAGCATTCCTATTTCTCATTTCCTCGCTGGCACTTGGTGTGGGCAGATCTTTTTAATATTTAGCCAGTCTAATAAATGGGTAATGTCTTAATTACTTTTATGTTGTGACAGCTAACAATTAATGAGGCTGACTCTTTTCATGTGTTTATTTGCTGTCTGCAAATCTTTTGTGACGAGGTGTCAATTTTTTGCCCATATTTTATTAGACTGTTATTACTGAGTTGTAAAGGTCTTATAATACTATAGATGCAGATCATTCTTCCAGCTCTGTGGCTTGCATCTTTAGATTCATCTGGATTCTAACTACAGCATGCAAAAAACATTTCTAGTATTCTTCGAAGAGCTAATGTTTTGAATTTTGTTGAAAATTACTGAGTTTTTTTCTTCAGTAGTTGATTTTCTTTGTGTTAAGGTCTCAAGTCATGCTTGTTTGTGTCTGTTTTTTGATGTTCTTTTCCATGATCTATTTGTGTACCCCAGTTGTCAAAACCACAGTGTCTTATTTGCTGCGGTTAAGAGTATTCAAGTCAAATAGGAAAGCCTTCCATCTTTGTGTATTCAGGTAAGCCCCTGATTTTTCTATCTGCTCAAATCTACTATTGAGTACCATCTAGCACATTTACAGTTTCAGTTATTACGATTTTCAACTCTAAACTCTAGGTGGTTCCCTTTAAAACTTCTTTTTATTGATATTTTCTTTGATTATGCTTTCCTTTAGCTCTCTGTGCATATTTATAATAGTCAATTTAAGAATTTTTCTAGTTAGTCCAATATTGGAACATTCTTTCTTTTTTTCTTGTCTGTACCGGGGATTAAATTCATGACCACCCGCGTACAAGGAAGGCACTTATGCTGGTGGGCTAAATCCCCAGCCCTCTTTTATCTTGCTTTTTCCTTTTTTTTTTTTTTTTGGCACTGGGGATTGAACTCTCGACCTGGCACTTGCCAGGCAGGCATTTATGCCACTGAGCTAAATCCCCGGCCCCAATGCTGGAATTTTCTTAAGTTCTGTTTCTCTTTTCTTGTAAGTTAGCTATAGTAAAGAAAAATTAGCTATACTCTTCTTTTCTTTGCATACTCAGAAAGAGACAGACAGACAGACAGACAGAGGATTGAATTCAGGGCTTTCTCACTGACCTAACCAGTCCCTATTTTTTAGTTTTTACTTTGAGACAGGATTTCACCCAATTGGTAAGTTTTCCAGGGTTGACTCAGATTTTCAGTCCTTCTGCTTCAGCCTGCCAAAGTGCTGGGATTATAGGTGTGTCAACTATGACTGTTTTGTTTTACTTCAGTTGGATATTTTATCTGGGTACAGTGAGACACAATACTTAAGGAGGTTGAGGTAGGAGGATCCTAAGTTTAAGACCAGTTTGGGCAACTTTAGGAATATCCTGTCACAAAATAAGAAAATAAAAAGAGCTAGAAATGTAACTCAGTGGGAGGCCTGTTTTCAGTCCTCAGTATAGCAAACAACAAAACCAAACCCAAAACAGCAACAAAAACTGGATACATTAGATATTATGTGTGTCAGCCAATGTATGGTGGTATATGCCAGTAATCGCAGCACTTGGGTGGCAGAGGCAGGAGGATTGCTGTGAGTTAGAGGTCAGCTGGGCTGGCATGAGTTACCTGTCTCAAAAGTGAGTAAATAAGGCTGGGGATTTGGCTCAGCGACATAAGTGCCTGCCTAGCAAGTGCAAGGTCGTGAATTCAATCCCTGGTACCACAAAAAAAAAAGTGAATAAATAAATGTTACATATGTGGCAAGTCTAGAAGTCAGATTTTCTACCATTTCTTCAAATTGGATATGTCACATGTTGTAATCATTATTCGTTTATTGCCTTTTCTAAACTATTTTTATAAAGACTCTATTCTTTGTCATGTGCAGCCACAGAGATGTTCCCCCTGATAGTTATGTGCTTAGTGTTTTGGCAGATTCACCTAGAAACCTGTTTTTGTACCTTCATTGTATACCTGGAGGGGCTTTCTGTAGGCAGCCTCCTTCCATACACCTCTTGTCCATTTGCCACCCTACCTGTTACTTTCTGTTTGTGAGGATTTTGAAGCTGCCATATGAGAAAGCTTTGTTTTCTCAGGTCTTTTTGGAGCTGTGTCCAGCTGGGGGCTTGCACATTTGTGGGTTCCCTGGGGGGAGCATTCACCCTTCAGAAGGATCTATACTGACATCCCACTGATGCTTCAAACTTCATATACAACCATGCCCTATGTATATTGTTTTTGCATGTGCACACAAACCTATCATAAAGGTTAATTTATAAATTAGACAACTAGAGATTAATAAAACTGATAATAAAATGAAATGTGAGTATAGTCTGTCTGTCAAAATACTGCATTATGCTGTAGATCTCAGCAACCTCAGTATTTGACTTTTTTCCCTTAAGTTTTCGCTTGAAGGAAGCACTTAATTGCTTCTTTCGGGCGTGGCTGAGTTGCTATCACTGGGGATTGAACTGAGCTTACACATGTTAAGCACTCTTACACACTTTGTTAAGCACTCTTATCACTCAGCTATACAGCCCCAAAGTTATTTTTAAGTAAGGTCTTGTTTCAGTTTTATTTTCCTGTTTTATTTACACTTCACCCAAATCTCAAAATTCTTTTAAAGTACTGTCTCAGCTCATTACATTTTTTTTCCCCAGTGCTGGGGATTGAAACCAGGGCCTTTCACATGCTGAGCAAGTTCTCACCACTAGGTACATCCCTAACCCTATTTATTGTTTATTTACTTATTTAGAGAGAGAGAGAGAGAGAGAGAGAGAGTGTGTGTGTGTGTGTGTGTGTGTGTGTGTGTGTGTGATTGGGTTTCACTGCAGTTAAGCCTGGCTTTCAACTCACTTTGTACACCAGACTGGCCTTGTTCTCACAGGGATCCTCCTTCCTCAGCCTCCTGAGTGCTATGATTACAGGTATGTGCCACCACACCTGACCTTTTATATTTTTTGTTTTGAAGTAGGATCTCACAAAGTCACCAAGCAGGACTCAGATTTTTGGTCCTCCAACTTTAGCCCCTGATTAGCTGGGATCACAGGAGTATGCCACCACACCCAACACAATTCATTAGTCTTGGGGATTCCCGTCTCTTTTCAAAAAGTTTTTTTTTTTTTTTAATTTCTTGAGACGGGGTCTCGCTATGCAGTTCAGGCTGGCCTTGAGCTCACTTTGTAGCCAGGCTGGTCTCGAACTCACAAGGATCCTCCCACCTCCGCCTCCCAAGTGTTGGGATTACAGACGTGAGCCACCACGCCCGGCTCAAAAAAAGTATTATACACCAGATATTTCATTTTAAGTAGGTGAATGCCAATGTAAATCTACAGAATGCTAAATCTTTTCATGCTGAATGTTCATGGGCTTTCTCACAGAATATCACTTTAGTCCTTTTTACTATGCTAAAGTTTCATACAATTGACGTGGAAAAGGAGCTTGAATTGCTGGGGATTTAGCTGAGTGGCGTAAGCACCTGCCTGGCAAGTATGAACTCATGAGTTCCATCACTGGTACGAGGGAGAAAAAAACGAAAAAAAAAAAAAGGAGCCTGAGTTCCTAATGTGGCAGGAGTTTACAGGCATTGGCTTGCAAAACCCTTAACACATTTGTGGCACAGGTGTAATGATTGCCACGCAGCACGCAGGGCAGGAGGTGTCTTCCCGACTTGACTGCTGAGACGCCTGAGCTTTGGTTAAGAAGATGCTGAAAGCCTTGCCACTTCTGAGTGACAGACCAGCAGGAATATCAGGGGTTTTTGGAGTCCCAAGCTCACAATCTCTTTCCTGCGTACTGTGAAGTTCTACTCCCTGAAGCATGTCTAAGACTTTTTGTATTCAGGTTTATTTGTAGTTTATATCACAGGCACTCTGGTGAACCTCTGTTATTTCTTTTGAACTTCTGCTACTTTTTTTTTTTTTTTGTCTTTTTCCTTTTTATCGGTACCAGGGATCGAACTCACGACTGCATGCTTGCAAGGCAGGTGCTTATGCCGCTGAGCTAAATCCCCAGCCCCTGAACTTCTGCTACTTTTAATTAAACACTAACATTTTGATTTCTTTAAATTTCCATTTTGTTCAGGCTTTTCTACATTTGCTATTTAAATTTCCCTTTTCTGTTTTTACTGTGGTGTGGTTTCTATGTGATTTTACATCATTTGTTAAACCATTGAAGATGCAGTTACAGGTGCAGCCAGAGCCTGAAATACCAAAATACTTACCTTAGTTACAGAGTTGAATTGCACACCATAGGAAAGGCATCTACTTGATGAGTTTTTTGAGATTGAGGGAAAGGAAACAGTGAACCATTGTGGCATCTTGTTCTCTTTCAGCTTTCAGAAGAGTTGTTAGACATTTGGCTCACCTACCCAGGGACCCAGCATGTGCCGCTCAGCCAGCATGTGCTTGGCTTTGCCATGAAGTCTGTTACAAGGGTGGTAATGGGCAGCACATTCGAAGACGACCAGGAAGTCATTCAATTCCAAAAGAATCATGGCATGGTAAGTCCAGGGCTTAGTTTAAGATTATCGTTTCATCAGCCCACCACAATGGTACATACCCGTAACCCAGCATTCTGAAAAGTTGAGGCTGGAGACTTGCAAATTCAGGCCAGTCTGCGCAACTTAGTGAGAGTCTGCCTCAAAAGGAAAAAAATATAAAAAGGGGCTGAGGATGCTGAGATTCTGGGTTTAATCCTTGTACTGAAAAGAAAATAATCCTTTCATGATAACAAGCAGTTGAATGCTGGTTTTGTCTCTGAAGATATAAGCTTTCTTGGTTTTTAGTGAAAAGAATAATGCTAGCTATGGTTATTTTAAGTTAAGAATTACGTTTTTCAAACAAATACTTTTTTAAATGTAAGGAGCATATGACTGAAGAAATTTTCTTTTAATACTTACCAAGTATATGCTGGGCACGGTGACGCATGCCTATGATCCTAGCAGTTGGGAGGTTGAGGCAGGAGGATCTGAGTTTGAGGTCAACCTGGGCTATAAAATAAGTTAAAGACCATCCTGAACTGCACAGTGAAACCCTGTCTGAAAAAGACCAGAAAGTAAAAAAAAAAAAAACCCAAAAACCATAAAACCAAGTGTGATAAAAGCAATATTGGATTTTAGAGTAAAGAGAAAAACTGTGTACTAGAACTAGATTGTGTCCTACATAGAAAATAAAGTCATTGGTGCATGAAAATGCTCATTGAGTGAATATGATTAGAAGCATCATTTGCTTTTTCTGGATTCACAAAGGAATTTATTTTCCTTTTTAAAAATTAGTCTCTACATTAATTCATTGAAATCATATTTAAGTTACTTTTACCACATTTTTGATCTGAAATTATTTCCTTATTTGATCCGGCCTGTAGATCAACAAGTTTGGAACTCCTGGAGGAGAAACGGGGATTAAACAAAAGACATGGGGGAGACAAAAAGAGACGAAGGCAAGTTGATGTTAACCCAATCAAGCCTCCGGTTTATTGAGAAAATAATCACACCTTTTATAGGCTAAGGGCGGGAGCTGGGACAGGAAGAGGTTAAACAGATGAATACAACAGGGTTACCATCACATCCGGATAAGTGACGTAAGCAGAAGAGGGTTATGGTTAATGTAGGCAGACGCAGTGCCCATAGGAGAGAGAGAGAGAGACATCTAGGCAGCAATGCCTGTCACTCGGCTCCCTACATCTCCTCCCTTTTTATATTATTTAATTAAGAGTATGGCAGGCCCTGTGAGGACAGCGTCTGTCTTAGGTCAAGGACCTCATTGCATGAACCCAACCAGGCCTTACCCGTCATGGGCTTGTAGAACAGCAGTTGGTCTTGTGTCTGTCTTAGGCGGCCGTTGGAATTAACATGTATGTCCTAGTTGCCCGTCTCTGACTGCCTGTCCATTGCCCCAGGGCAGTCAGGCCGCATCATCATATGGGCCACTCGTGGGAATTTCTTCCCTGTAGGTTTGTTGATCTGTCATCTCCAGCTGATGGTAGTGTACCTGAATGGGCTTTGCCATAAATGTGTCTATCTGGTTATTAATGAACATCATAATCCTCTGAAAAATACAAGACTCACAGAAATGAGAAACAATAGGTCAGCTAGGGGACCCAAAAGTGGGACTAGGTAAGGGAAAAACTCCCCCCCCCCCCAAAATCAAGGAGAAGGGGTTGACAGTCATTTGTTGGTGTCTCTGTATGAAGTTATTTTCCTGTGTCTTGGAGCATGCCTTGAATAACACTGGATGCAGTCTATTTGGCTGGTGTATGTTTCTCCAGACCAAGAAGAGCCTCTTCCGCAGTCATGGGGTTTCGTGCATGGCTGTCAGCAGTTGTAGTCTGTTTGGCAGGGGTCAAAATCCACCATGGGTGTGGTGTGGCTCAAGAAGGCTGGTTAAGCAGCATAAGGCTCCAAGGAGATATGTCACCTGTAAGAGAACACAGGGGATTGTGCCTCAGGAAATAACATTATTCCTGGGCGTTACATGGGGTCTTTGACGAACTGTCTACTTGCTTTACAAGGCGTTCAGGTAGCCATCTAGCTTTTCTATCTTGTTGAGAGTAAACACACACTGAACCTCGTCCCCAGATAAGGACTGGATCAGGGCCATTCCACACATTGGTTAGTGGGTCTCTCCATAAAACAGATGCAAACCGTGTTTGAGTCTGCGTATGCCAAAACCGAGATGCTGCGGAGCAGCCTGAAGCATCCAGGGTCAGAAAATTTAAAATAAAAAGAGCATGTGAAAGGACATTTTTAGGGGACCCCTGGGTGGGGTACCATGTCTCCCTTTTTATTTTATCTATGGTGAATTTAAGAGAACGATGCGCACGTTTAACAATGCCTTGTCCCTGAGGATTGTAAGGTATACCTGTAGTGTGGAGGATATTAAGGCTTTTACAAAATTGAGCAAAGGAGGTGCTGGTATAGAGCTAGGGCCATTATCAGTCTTGAGCTGTTGAGGACATCCCAGAACTGAGAAGGCTGACAGCATATGGGCTATAATGTGTTTAGCAGCTTTTCCAGTCTGGAGAGTGGCAAAAATGAAGCCACTATAAGTGTCAATAATGACATGTATATATTTTAGATTGCCAAACTCATTGAAATGGGTAACATCTATTTGCCATAAGGCGTTAGGAATTAAACCTCTAGGGTTGACTCCTAGGTGTTGAACAGGTGAGTGGATAGCACAAGATGGACAATTTTTTATAATTTGTCTGGCTTGTTCACGGGTAATTTTGTAGAGAAGGCAGAGGGTGTGAGCATTGAGGTGATGTAGCTGGTGGGCTTGTTGGGCCTCAGACACCTTGGAGTCCTGAGCCATAAAAACCTGTGCTCGTACAGCAACATCAGCCAAATGATTTTCTTGGGCAAGAGGCCCTGGGAGGTTGGAATGAGCTCGCAGATGACCGATAAAGAACTTATGACTGCGAAGCCGTATGAAGCATTGTAATTGTTTGAACAGATTTGTAGCTGGGGAAGCATGACATATAGTAGCAACAGTCTCTAATAATGGAACAGACTGAGCAAGGTAAGCACTGTCAGTATACAAATTAAATGGTTGGTCAGAGTAAGCAGCAAAAGCTGCAAGAATAGCTTTTAACTCTGTTAATTGTGTAGAGGAAGTATCTGCCTGGAGGGTAGAAACATTGTCTTGAGATATATAAGCAGCTCTTCCGGAGGATGAGCCATCAGTGAATAAAACCAGGGCACCCGGAAGGGGTTGTGAAGCTGTGACTTTAGGGAATATAAATGAGTGACGATTAGCAAAGTCAACTAGCTTATTTGGAGGGTAATGATTGTCAATAGTCCCTGAATAGGAAGCTAAGGCAATAGGCCACACTTCAGTACTCTGAAGTAGCCAATCTATTTGGTCTTTTGTAAAAGGTTGAATGATAATATCTGGTTTTTTGCCAAAGTAACATTTTCCCTGCTTTCTACCCTGGATTATTAGGTCTAAGACAGCTTGGAAATAAGGCAAAAGTGTTTTTTTTGGAGAGACTGGTAAATGGACCCACATGAGGGGAGCTTGTTGTCAGAACACTGCTGTAGGGCAAAGCTTTGTGTTAAAAATGAGAAACTGTAAAGGTTTATTGTAGTCTATAAAGGAAACAGTTTGTTGAGCAATAGCCTCTTTTACTTTACTGAGCGCTCTCCTAGCATCAGGTGTAAGCTCTCGGGGGGAAGTTGGATCTATGTCTCCCCGAAGCAGCGCATAAAGGGGCTGTAAATCATGTTTAGTTAGTTTTAAAAATGGTATGAGCCAATTAATATCTCCCAATAGTTTTTGGAAGTCATGAAGTGTAAAGGAATAGAGAAAAAGCAATCTTTAAGATCTATGACAATTTTAAAAAATCCTAAAGGAATGGCACTGGGTGAGGGGAGGCCTGGCTGTAGGGGCCCCATTAAGACCATTGTCTTATTTATCACCCTAAGGTCTTGTAGCAGCCTCTACTTTTTTGACCTTTTCCGGATAACAAAGATAGGTGTGTTTTAAGGGGAATTACTAGGAACAATGTGGCCTGCATCTAACTGGTTTTGCACCAGCTGCTGTGCGGCTGTAAGCTTTTCAGAGTTAAGGTTGTTTTTAAAGGCTTATATGAATCCCCAATTGGCCATGGAGGCACAGGGAGTGGCGGGCTGCCATCCTGGGACCTGCTGATCACGTCAACAGGTGGAAGTGGTGGCAGATCACCATGTATGAGGACCTCTAACAGGCCATCATTCTCTGCATCTGAGAAATTAGAGGCTTTAGATTTTTTTGAGGACGGTTTTGAGGTAGATTTAAGGGAGTCGCGCAAGGCAGCTTCACCCAGTGCAACTGTCTCCTCAACCTGAGTGTCTGCATGCCTCTGGGCAAGCAGCTCAGAAATTAAATTCTAATATGTAAAGGTGGTCACAGGAACCTTTTCTGGACCGAAAACTCTATAATAATCTTTTAAAACATCTCTTACTGTATTTCACCTCTTGGTATCTATAGAACCCTCTAGGGGGAACCAAGGGCAAACCTTATGAATAAACTGAAAATACTGTAATAATTTTTGTTTTTTAACCCTTATCTCTCTTGTCTTTAATGCCTTTATAAGGCCTCTGACGAACACTTCGTGTTCGCTCAATACTTGACCCATGTTGGGAAAGGGAAATGGGGTTGCCGTTTACTTACCGTGACTCGGGCAGGACGTCGGGTAGTCGTCTGCGCAGGTCTAGGCACTTGATTTAATGTCCTGTTGCTTTAAGCTTTAATCCTTGATTTAGTTTACTCATTTCTCGGCCGAGGTCTCTGGTTTAATTTGCTTTTACTTTTGGTTTAAGCCGGCTGTCTCTCGAACGGCTCCCTCGTTAACTTCTCTGTGCCAGGGGCCCCCACGCTGAGCGCCACTTGATCCGGCCTGTAGATCAACAAGTTTGGAACTCCTGGAGGAGAAACGGGGATTAAACAAAAGACATGGGGGAGACAAAAAGAGACGAAGGCAAGTTGATGTTAACCCAATCAAGCCTCCGGTTTATTGAGA